AGTCTCAGCCTGTATACTAGCTATCCTGAGTGGAATAGTTTTGTGTTTTTCCTCAGTCCTTTCATGTAGCTTTTGAGTTAATACCTTACAATAGACAGTAACCACGTCTACACCGTTCCAAATTCCTTATTAGCATTTAGCATACCGTGTGATGCCATACAATCTGTGCAGTTGAGAAAGCATTTTGTTAAAGAACTGATCAGTCTACAGATGTTTTTGTTGATTTCAGCTATTGAATTGTCACTCAAAGAGACACAACATTCCCCTAAGGTTCAGAGCAGTTTGTACCCGTCTACAACTCTCTCGTCAAGTGGGTCTACCACATCTGCAGAGGCAAGAAAGGTTCGAGCACTGTATGATTTTGAAGCAGCTGAAGACAATGAACTCACTTTTACTGCTGGAGAAATCAGTAAGTGAACATGTTTGAGGTGTTTATTGTGTATAATGCCATGTTTATACATAAGCTGCTTCTTAGGGCACACACATTGTGAGGGAGGGACCTTAAGAAATAAGTTCCTGTCTTGGCCTGCAGTAAAAGTATGAGATTTAATTTTTGTACAAATATGTGATTTGTTTGTGATGTCATCAGTACATGTAGAAATTCACTTTGTCTTCTTTTGTCTCTCCTGTTGGTTCTACTAATATTTAAGCAGAAAGAAATTGTATTTCCTTTCCTTTAATATAGACCTTCTTTCTTTAGTTGATGTGGTTTAGACCAAACATTACAGTTGCGTGGTGGCACTGCTGCTTCATGTTTAGCAGGTCCCAGTTTAAATTCTTATCCCAGAGGGTTGATATCCTTTTAAAAGTTTTCATGGTTATTTTTACTGTCCCTAAACAAATGCTGGGATAATGCCCTGAAATATGCCATGACTCAGTTATTCCACATATTTCCTGCTTTATTGTTCATAGTCATGCCCTGTTTCATGCTGTATGATCTGTGCAGTTGAGAAAATGTCATTAAATAAACTACACTGGTGATTATCTCTTTCTTTCCAGTTCATGTGCTAGATGATTCGGACCCTAATTGGTGGAAAGGTTATAATAACCAAGGGGAAGGCCTTTTCCCAGCGAATTTTGTTACAGCAGACTTGTCAGCTGAACCAGAACAGTTTAGTAAGTTTGTTAATGAAGATGACTGTCTTCTGGGATGTTGTGCCATGTAGTTTGGTGGAAATTGACCAACATTTGTGAGGCCCTGATGATGGAGGAAGTAAGAAGCTGTGAAATATCAGTAAGATTCTCCCAAACTACATGATGCAACATGCCAGAAGACAGCCTTCTCCATGATCATCCCTGTAAATAACTGAAATCCCACTGAATGTTTTGACATAAATACGAGGGTCGCTCATTAAGTAATGCCCCACATTTTTTTTCTCAGCCAATAATGAAGATAGAAAAGTGTACTTTTACATGCTTGAGATTTGATGTTTCCCGCGTTCGTGTACGGAGTTTCAAATGATTCCAACCGATAGCGGAGCTGTAGTGAACTGTTAAAATGGCGTCTGTGAACGACTCTCGGTACAAGCAACGAGCTGTAATTGAATTCCTTGTTGCTGAAAAAGAAACGGTGGTGAACATTCATAAACGTTGGTGTGCTGTGTATGGAAGCTGTGCAGTCGATAGGAGCACCGTTGGTCGCGGGGCTAAGAGAGTTAAAGCTTCAGGAAGTGAAGAAACCGAGCTCCAGTACTTATCTTATATAAGAATTATTGAGGTAAATGCAATTTATGTGTGACGAACAAAGAGCAGGCGCAGTGGCCATGTACGAGAAACATTGAGCAACTACCATTACTACCCTACATCTGTTGATGAAGGAGGATGGAGCAGAATACAGAATATTTGCAGCTGAAAAGAGAGGTGATATTTGTGCGGCAGAGTGTATGGTCAATGGTGAAAAAGTTTTAATTGTTACCCTGTATATTTCTAACAACACACCTATTGATGATTGTAAGAGATTTGTTTTGAGTCATTTGGGAATGTTTGCTCCCAAATTTACAGAGATGTTTTCAGTTATGGCCACAGAAGGTCGTAAAACAATGCCCATAATATTGGCAGGAATTTTAACATTCATTTAAAGAAGGAGGAAAATCAAAGCTTTGTCACATTTATGGAGGAAACATTTGGCTTAATGTTGATGTCAAATCCTCAGTGTAGTACTACTAGATCAAAATCTTGTGTAGATATGGTGTTTGCACGAAATGTTGATACTCTAAAGTGTACAAATTTTATAACATATTTCAGCTACCACAGACCCATCTTAAGCGTAACTAATTCAAGTTAAATAAGCAATGTCTTATTCAAACTATTTACTTAATTGTAAAGCATATATAAAGGGAATATTTAGAATAAAGCTAATATATAAACTTCCTTTCATTGTATTTATTGCTTAAATATAATTTAAATACAAAGACGTATTTACGTCAGATTTTCCGGAACCGTGGTTCCACTGTAAATTTTTTTTCTGTTTGTCCTCTTGATACTGTTGAAGAAGATAAGTGATACTGTAAATGTAAAGTTTATTATGATTATACTAGTCATTGCAAATCCTATGTCATGTTCACCCTAAGCCTTTTATTGTTATTTTGGATATCTTATTCAACTTAATGATTTTCTTGCAGGTATAAATCTTATTTTTATATATAAATCTAATGCTGTAGGTATTAATCTGTTGCACTTTTAATTGTTCTACGTAAAGTCAATAAAATTTGGACCTAATGAGAGGAGAAAATTAGGATTTTGGAAGGTTTATACTTTCTGTACTTCATCTAATTTTATTGCATTGCTTTAATTAAGTATTAGATGGGCATGCATGGGGGAAATGTATGATTAAGAATTATAAAAGGCCTAGGCATAGATTGCAAGAAAAAATTAAAAAATTTTATGGAGAAAATAGGTATGAATAGTTGGGTTGGATTTGAGTGGACTCTGTTGTGATAGATAACCATATGATTTAATGATATGTCTCTGTTACAATTCATTTGTTTCTCAGAACTGGACCAGCCCCGGAAGTCAGTTCAGTTCAGTGAGGCTGTGCAGGTGAAAACTGTGGAGGAGCCACAGGAAGTGGAGATCAATGAGGAGAAGATAGACAGGTGGGCTGAGAAGGATCTTAATGATTCTCTAAGATTTATGAGGAGTTATTATACCACAGTTATGTAGGGCATGGACACAGTATTGGACCTTTCAGGTTCGACAAAAGTGGTGAATTTCTTGTTCAGCAGAGAAACTCAGGTTTTCATGGAGTTACTTGATTTTATAGATGTGGGGCTAATTGTACCAAGTTAAAAAAGTCACATTTTTGTTTGGTATGATGACTTTTTGGCATTGTCTGCTTTGGAAATGTTATAATACGAACACTTGTTATCAGGTTACTGCATCTTCTCCATGAAGCAGACCCAACTGAGAACAATTCTGACAGTGAGGAAATGTTGAATCTAGAAGGTGAGTTATATGTAATGTAAAGTCACGTTAAGAGTTGTTTTGTAACATTTTTTAAACTTTCTGTAGCTTTCTGTCTGTTTAATCTCTGAAACTAGTGATTGAATATGAGGTTTGAGGTTCTTGTGCTGGTGAAGATGTCTGTTGTGGTTTTTCTGGATGATAACCACCTACAAAACTATTACAGTGTCACAGTCCAGAAGAACACAATCTACATATTAAATGAATATATTGATGAAATGAAACTCAAATCTTTTATCAGTTGTCTGGAAAATCAGCTTATCATTTAAAGAATTTGTATGTAACAAAGAATATACATCTGATTCAGATCTGCTATTTTAATTTGAAACTTGGTTGAAGTGTTGTGTATTTAATGAAGTACAAGCAAAATAATACTTTATTCAGTTCATAGATTACCTTTGTTTGCAGTAGTTTTATGTTTCACTGCATTATAAATTTCTGCACAAGATGTACAGGACGAAAGTAATAAATTTATTTGAGTTTGAACATTAATACCATAGATAATTGAATAATTGCAACAGATACATTTTAAAAATATGTACTTCTTTGGATTACGCATTTTTACTATTATTTTGTATATAATAACACATTTCAGTGCTGTTCAAGTAGGAGTAAAGAACATAGTTCGTGTAGCTTTACAATAATGCATGATCTGGTTTGTTTTTAGGTACTGAACTGTGTTTTAGTGTTCTTCTATATGGAATTAAAGGTTGAAAAAACTGGTGTAACACGTACATTTGAGTGTGTTGTTAAAGAAAAAAGTACTGGGAATTTGTAGTTACTTTATTATGTTGTCATCAGTGAACTTATTTGACACAAAGAATTCAAGTACTTTAAACAGATGATTTCTTTTTTAGAACAAGTAAATGCAATGGGGCCACTGATAGACCAGGAATTGGAGAGAGTAGATCGCAAACATGCCCAACTTACACAGTTGAGTTCTGATCTTGTTGAAGCCTTGAATCTGTATCACACACTGATGCGGGAACCGGTGACTCCACAGTCCTATCACACTATGCCTAAGCAGGTGAATTATGGTTATCCTCCACCGTCATCTGGTCATGTAAGTGATTTGTTTATATCAGCATTTGCTGGGGACATTTTTAGAAAAGAGTGTCATAATTTGTAATCAAGAGCAGTGAGGTGGGCAGAAATGCATACAGAACTTTGCTGGAATATTTGAAAGGGGAGGAGGACCATCATAATAATAATTGTTATCATGGGATTAAAATAAGAATTAAATTAATTTCTGGAGCAATTGAGCATGCACTTTAATTATGTGTCCTACACACAGATAAGTGGATAATATAACATTGGGTAGTGGACAGATAGAATGTGAAGGAGTGGAGTAATGCAGCTGTTTAAGTGTGGATCTATGGTCGGCTCGTGTTAATGCTGTGATACCTCTTCGGGTTCCATAAAAGCATGACATACTGATTCACTATCTCCTTTCCAAAGTATACTGTATACCATGGAGTTATAAGTATGAAAGAAGAGAAAACCACATAAAAATGAGGTTTTTGTGTATAGTAACCAGATTAATCGTTTAAAAGATTTTATTTCACCAAACCATTACTGGTTGTGATCAATTTCAGAGCATTATCTGTGTACATATTCATGAACACTCTGGAATTTTATTTTTGGAAAGTCCTTTAAGTACATTCATCACATTTATGTGAATGTCTTTATCAGATTCTAGATTAGATCTATTCAATTAAATTGTCAGGTTTCAGAACATGAAAAAGTTCCATGAGACAAAATATGGAGGGTGTTCCTGTGATGGAAGAAATTTGATATTTACTTTTGCTTTGATGTGATGCACACTTTTTTTTTCAGACTAGTGAAATATTTGCTTTAGTATGCTATATCTGGGTTATACTTTAAGACCTAGGTCTCATTAGCAGTTATATTTTCTTCTATGCTCTACATGTTCAACTCTTTCTTTCTACATGTAATTGTACTTTGTAATTATGTTCTATATCATAAAGTTGACACATCAATCATGAAACTTTCTTGTCCTTGTAAGTAAAGCAGATGTAGCAAATTCATATTCATGTGCTGTTTCTGTGTCTAGGTATTCAATGGAGTTCCAGCAGGTTCTTCATTTGGAGTGTCTCACCATTATTCAATGCCTCCTGGCCATGATCACTTGGTAATGGGTGGACCCTCTGGTCCCAGTTCCATGACACTGCCACCACATTTTCATCAAATTGGCCCACTGCCTCCAGGAGTCCTGCCTCCTGGAGCCAGTCATCGGCTAGACGACCAACAGAGGCTGCAACAACCTCAGCCTCCTACAGGAACGCCGATTCCATATGCCGCCAGGTAAGCAGTGAACAGAAAATAGAAGTAAATGCATGGTTGTTTGCGTACTGAAGCACCAGGCATGAAGACGTTGGGGAGTTGAAGTAAGGCTCCACACATTCTTAACTTTGCTACTAGGTGGAGGTGAGTGGTCAGCTTCATGATCTAGCTTCTTTGCTGGTGTTACCCTTTCAGTGATACTGGGTGGGCTGGCATAGCGATGAAGAGAAAAATTCTTGCTCCTGGTGGGAATCGAAGTCCAGTCATCCATCCTGTAGCCAGTCAGTTTGCTGACTGAGCTATCCTGGCTGAATGAAATACAGCATGTCATTGCTTTTCCAGTGTTGCATGAATGAATGTGCTTACCTGTGGAAAGTAGATAGCAAAACATACAGGCTCTTAAATTGTGATTCTCTACCTATGCACAGATAACAACAGTTCATAAAATGTGGTACTTACAGTTCAATCCTCTTTTGCCATCTTATCAGCCAGTGTCACTGTTTCTTTGTTAAATTGTTTCTGCCTCAGTATTATGTTTCATTATACTCATTACATACTGTGCCTTTTCAGAAGAGCTATTTTGAATCATCATGTATTGTGTGCATCTTTTGACATATATTACTCATTCTTAAACCATCACGTTTCTTTGTATATGTGTTAACTGTAATTGGCTGAGTCTATGGAACATAGTCCACCTTTTATGAAACCTAATGGTTTTTATTATGATGAGAAGAGCCTGCCTCTGGATTTTATCCTCAGCCAGAGTCCACACTCCTACATTCTTTTTCATTATATCCTCCCAGTTACACTTAGGTTTCCCAAATTGTGTCTTCCATCAGGTTTTATGAATAAATTTTTTATGGACATGTTATGAAAAATTAAAGAATGAAAGACAACAAAATGCAAAAGAAGAATATAGCTAATGCCCGCGCATTATGCCATGATGCTGTGAGATACAAAATATATTTTATTGAGCTGCCGTGTGGAAGAAATGGAGAAACACAGGATAAGAAGCACTTATAATGGAATTGGTGATATTTTCAGTGGATTACCAAACTATGGTCCTTCGGTTGCACAGCCTCCTTCGTTCTCACGCCCAACTGGTCCTCTGCCACAGCAGCTGCCCCCAGGACCAGGAACAAACTACCCTCCAAATGGGCAACCTTTGTTGTGAGGGTAGGACTAAATGTGGGGCGTGAACTCTGCTAGAGTCGAGGACCTATCTGGAGAGGATGACGTGATCATTATCCACCTGTTAATATTTACATTGCGATAGTGATGATAAGGTTCATATATGTGTGTAGATTTAACTCCCTGCTTATCTTGAATTGAATTTATTTTGTATGGCTATTGACACTGAAATTATACTTAACTTGTAATTTAGGTCAAAGCATAGGTTGAAAATTTCATAATTGTATAGGTATTTATGAGGTTGTATGTCAGTGTTTTATATTTACATTGTTCATAATGGGAATTATATGTTGTTATTGTTGTTGTTGAGCCAGTTATGTCTTTCCTTGTATTCATGGCACTCCCTATTAATTTCAGTGACAGATGTTTCTTCTTACAGTACTGAGTCTTTGAAAGCAGATGGAAAGCTTCAGGAAATATGTTTTAATTAAAATATGTTCTATGCAAGTACATTACTAGCAACAGCATATGAAGGAAATTTGATTTTAATGACATTAAATGTACTGTGTAGGATTTTAGCATAGCTTCGTGTCTTGTACTTGCTACAGCATTTGGGACTGACTGTTTACTGTCATAAATTGTAAAAGATTAAAAATGTGTTGTTTCATACTGTGCCAACATGCCAGAATTTGTTGTGACATTTTTCTACATGGATGTACAATTTTAGTAGCTGGCTTTTAGATTCAAGTTTGAGTTAAATATTAGGTTAATTCAGTTTTGAAATAGTATGACATAGAAGACCACTGAAGAGATGGCATGAAACTGTAATGGGTCACATGGCCAATACCTGATGGAATGATGATGATAAATTAGTTATAAAGCCAAAATGTTTTTACCTTTCTGCACCATGCTAGTGAACATTCACAAATTATATTTCAGTTGTTGGTATTAATTCCACCTTGTTTCTCAATCTCCTGAGCCTCTGTTGAGATGCACCTTTCAATTTTCAAGGATCTGAAAATCATTACTTCTCAACATATATCTGGGGCTGTTTCACACAATGGAACATTCTGCTTACAAGCCATTATAATATATTGAAATATAGTTATCAGAGCCAACAAAAAGACTGTTTAACCAAGATTTATGAAACTGTTTAATGATACTGGACAATATATGCCCTTTCCAAGCTGATTTTTAATTAGAGATTATGACTATTGTAGTTTTATGATTATGTTCTTACACACATGAATGAGACAGTCAATATTCTAAAAACACACATTGACTTTGTTTTTGCCATAATTACCCAACCTTGCAAACCAAATGATGAATATTAGTCATTGCTGTGGTTGAGTATGGGTTTGATCCCAGACAGGGGCAGTGATTTTTTTCTTCACCCTACCAAGTCCCATCCATTTGGCACTGGAGCTTATTCTTTGGGGCTAAAGCAGCTGGAATGTGAAATTGATCACTCACTTTCATGTGGTGTCAAAGTCAAAAATGTATGGAGCTGTACCACCACTATCCTGTATTTCTTCACCAAATAGTGCTTAATTAATCACAGGGGTGACTCATTCATATTGGAGGTACTACAGTAATAACCAATTATACTTGTCATGGTTGTGTATGTATATATATTGTTTTATTAAGGTATTTTGTTTTATATGCACAGTATTTATTTCATATAAACCAGTGAAGTCAATCTGTTGGTGTGGATACAGTGATACAATGAAGTGCATCCCTCAGACAGAATGTATTTCATCTACATTAACGTATAAATTTACAGTCATTCTTACAATAGAGTTTTCTTTCCAACAAAATATGCAACAAAAGACTGAAATGGGACTACAGCAGTTGCTGAACAAACTGTGATTATGAATGCAGAAAATGGTTTAGGTGTATATATAACTTATTTTGTAGTCACTGTGTCCAGTACATACATTTTGGGGTATAAAGATATTCTAAAGGAACAAACATCAGTTATGACATTCACCAAACTGTGATGTTGACTGGGAACTTTCAGTCCCATTTCATATATAAATTTGAGGATTAGCATGTAAGTTTGTAGAAGTGCTTTAGGTCCTTCAAAATCATGGAACAGAAATAGAAACCTACTCAGAGATTGGCTGTGTGATGTTATGAGGAAGATTCAGAAGGTACACACTCTGATAAACACTTTCTAATTAGTTTTCTACACAGTGTCATGTTTATATACATAAATTGCCAATGCTTTCCCAGTAAAGAGTTGAACCCTTGACAGAATTGGCTCAACAACAGTTCACAACCCTTCAGATGTTATGCCCTAGAAGAATATAAAACAAGTAGTCAGGCAGCTCGTGCAGAGAATGGTGTCTCCATGGTAGCCTACTGTAGTGGCATTGCATCATATAATTCTGAGCAGCTCTTCAAAATTTAGCCATACATTAATTTTAAAGTAACATGTGGTACACATTTAGGTATTGTTTCAGAATTTAGTGGACCAGTGTATTTCAAGACACTTATATTCCTGAAACTCTGCCTGACTTTCTGTGATACCATTCATGAATAATCAGATTTGCATAACAATTCAGAATTATGTTACTTTAATAAGGAAAATGGCATAGTGATGACTTTTTGTTGATATGAATGCAGAAAACTGAAGCTGTGGTTGAGAACAGTGCGTGTTTGTCATATGTAAACCACTTGAACATCACACCAAATGATTCCTGGCTCATGATGCACCATCTCAGTATACTTCTCCATGGATTAACCACTCTGATATCATGTAAATGGTCTTGTCAAAGCTTATTTCAGTAATTATGACCAGTGATAGTTATTTAGCTTTTAAACGGAAATATTGAAACTGTGGATGATTTTTGTTTGTATGTTGTCACTTGATTGTTGCTGTAAGTAAAGCTGCCACATTTCAAACACAGACTGACAGCAGACTGCTACCAATCATTTCTGTTCTATCTGTTTCTTTCAGTAATAACGTAAACAAGCGTGTCAGAATACCATACCCCACCGTGTGTACCACTTGACTTCTGTTTCAAAGATACAGAGTTTCCTAATTTTAATGTAGAAGAAACCGATATAAAATAATTGCCAGTTACTGAAATTAAACTTAAACATGATGAGTCAATTTTGAAGAGTTGTGAATAAGGATGGTGCAGTTTGACTTCTAATCAAATTCTCCTTCCCAGCAGGTTTCATTTGTACTTCTGATGTTGACGGATAGTGTTCAGTGTTAGTATGGAACACTGACTTTGTATTTCATAATGTAATTTTGTACATTGGATAGAAAAGGACAAACTCTTGATAATTAGTACTCAGGATAGAGATAAAGACTTGTATATGTATTGCTGAACCTCATTTGTTAAGTATTCTCTCACTTTTAGTTTTATATATAAATACTTTTTAAAAAGAAGGCATTCCTAATTTTTGGAACAGGAAATGTTTCTGGACATTGCACCAGTCATTTTGTGATCACTGTATCATGAGTTAAAATTATGTCATAAATTAAGAAGCCGGACATGCGAAGTGGTATTAAATTTGTGCAATAGAAATTACTTTATTTTTAATATTATATTTTGTTATGCATACACACACACACACACAGGTTTTACTTGAGATCAACTGCTGTAAGTAAAATGTAACTTATTAACATCCAAATATTCAGCTAATACTACTGAACTACAATTCAAAATTTTGGCATTATGAGACAACCAGTAAACATGGCAAACATTTTCACCATTATTGGGATATTCTGTTTCTACGTTAAGCTATGTGACTTTTAAAAATTATGGTCACAAGGATTCTGTGAATTACATCTTTGCTATAAAGCTGTGTAGACATAATGAAATTCAAACTCAACTTTTTAAGAAGAAAACAACATTGCCTGTAAATACATATATAATGTCAACTGTGAGTTTCTAGTATGTGGTAGGTAACCAGCATTAAAAGTAAAAGTAAGAAGAAAATATAACAAGTTGTAAGAACTGGTTTAAAAATTATTTTAAGTTTAAGTTGTATGAAGTTTACAAATTGTAGTAGAAAAATATATTATGAAATTAGTGAAGCATGGACATATATTTTAATTAAATCCTCCACTGTGTGTAATGCTTACTATGAGGAAAGTTATATTGTGCCAAACTGTTGGGCATGCCTTACTGCTCAAGTTATGCGATCTATTTTCCATTGTTTCTGTGAAATGTGACCTCTTCATCCATGGCTTTATACTTTAAACATGCTAATGGAATACAATGCACAGTTTAGAGCACCTTGCACATAACAAAATTCTGACATCAATGTAAATTAAAGTTCTCTACATTAAGAACATTTGTTTCCCTTGAACATAGTCTGTGATTGATTTTACACAAATTTGTTGGTGGAAAGAGGGGAAAGAATACCAGATTAAATGTCTTAAGGTATAGTAATGACAACCAGATATAATTATAAATATAATACAGATTTGAAAGTTTCTGTATAAAATAGTAGATGTATCTGGAAGAAATACTGACAAGTATGAGTTACTGTTCTCTAATCCTTTCTTAGAGTGTGTTTTGATAAAGTTCACCAGTATGTCTGGATGCTGCCTAATTTATGTTCTTCTTTTCTGTCATGTAATTTGTATATTGTTATATTATTGAGTTTTGCCATTTATAATTAAAAATTGTCACTCTTTATGTGTGAAATTAGTATCTTCTGGGCTCATCTTGTGCATGTATATTTAACACTTTTTTAATATCATTATTAAATTTTAAAAGTAGTGTATGATTTCTGGGTACTATTGCCTAAGGAATTGTGCTGTACGTAAGGCATGAAAGAATAATTATTATGCACACCCACCCACACATGGTTAGAAAATGTCTGAAAGAAAGGTAGAACTAAATGAGGTTAGTATTTTATGTTACATGTGTTTATTACTACCTGCATCTGTCATAATTAATTATTATACAATGTGGTGGCACTTGGATTTGACTCTTTCACTGTTTCACATTCCTGTATGTATAATGTGTCTTAGAGAAGTTTGTTTAACATTTCTTTGGTGATTCTGAAATTTATAGTACATGAAATATCAGTGTTTCTTTTTGATTTTGTTCTAGAATATAACATTAAGAGAGTTAACCTAAATGACAAAGTAACTTGTGCTCCATATCTTTAAAATTTATTGTTAAAATCACAAGTAAGTGTTCATGCTACATTTACTGAGCATTACACATTTTCAATTTTTTTCCCCCCTTTTATTTTCTCTTTCCTTCAATTAATTTCCACTCTCTTTTCATCAGGCTGGAGAAATTTTCTGATGAAATCAGTTTTCTGGTTAATCAAGGTTCTGATGTAGACAGGTTTTACTTTGTCAGAGTAAAGCAGCAGACCAGTGTCTGGGTATGATATACTCATGATGACAGGCTTGTCTGAAACAATATGAGGAGGTTAATGCTGAGTTCTGTAATTAAAAGATGTTGGTTTCAGAATGACCAGTTGCCAGACTTATGTGGGAATAAGTATTAACAAAATTGGCATTGATTTTATTTAATCTTACATTTTATTCATTTACATCATAACAGGAAATATCAGTATAATATATAACATTAACACTGAAACCATCTTATGGCAAAAGATTCTGTTTTCTGGGTTGCTGTGCCATTTAGCCTGTAGCCTGATAGAAGTTTACTGACGTTTCAGAGGTCCATGCTGCTTCCATCATCACTCATCGCCTTGATGATGGAGGCAGCAAGGACTTCTGAAACGTCAGTAAACTTCTACCAGACTACATGGTGCAACAACCTAGAAGACAGCCATCTTCAGACTCACAGCCGTGAAAACCTCAAATCCTACATCTTATGGCACCTTTCATTTTGTATTTTTTTCCATTATACTTGCAGTAAACAATAGAAGGTACAGTCCACGACTGTAATCTAGTGACTTGTGGGGTGAAGGATGAAGAAGGAAAGATAGCGTCTGCCTTTAACGATCCTCTTGAGATACTGTTGAGATCAACAACAAGCATATTGGACTTTGAAATGAGATTCTGTTAAAGCTATATGCTATGCATTCAGAATTATGTAGAATATGAAATTCCTTATCTTATGTTTAAACTATTTGCCATGTTTGTATACATCTTGTAAGGGACTGCGGCTACACATATTGACAAAAATGATTAATTTCCGTTTTATCTTTAGTGCAAGCCTAAATCACTAACTTTATTTTATGTAAGCCAGTGTCACTCTTCGCATGGTAGACTATGTATAGGGAGTCTAGCATATACTCAGAAACAATATTCCATTCTTTTAGGTGGAGTCACACGGATGGACAGTTCCACTTGGTCGGATAATGTGCAGGCAGGTGAAAAAGGTCAGCTGCCTAGTTTTTTCTAGACCAAATTGTATTTTAATGGTTATACTGTTTTTTCAAGTACAGGAACTTCACCACCCGATAGTTGAGAAATTCCCTCACCACACCACTGTTTAATATTTAACCACTTGTTAATTAGTGCTGCATACAGCAAAGAATGTTACCTGCTATGATTATTTATTTAGACTGGACACATGCCGTAGTAAGTTTCTTTGTCACTGCTAAGGCTGTACAACTTGTGTTCATGAATTACATCAGTGACTAATTTTTGTTTATCTGTGCATGATTTTGTTTGTCCCTGTGTCAACAACACTTCCTACTGCTATAAATAATGAATTAATTGTTAATATAAATATGGCAGGTTTTGAGATATTCAAATTTTTACTTCAATTTATATTCTGTATCTTCCATTACTCCAATTGATATGTATCTATTAATAAACAGTTAAATGATATAAAGACACAAATAGCATATAAATTAATGAAAGGAAATCTCAAAATTGGAATGTTAACTTTTAAATAATATGAGGCTTTTTCAGATGAAACCATCCGTGACATGGTCTGACCTGACTACAACCCTTTAGTGCTTTCTTTAGAGAGCCAAACACCAAGAAATCACACAGTGACAAGTCTGGGCTATGTGGAGGTTGGTCTAACACCTTTTACTTAATGTTTCTTGGTACAGTGCAGGCCACATGGTGATGGGTGCTATCATGAAACATTATGACACCTCTTGTTGGCACTAAGGAACTGAGGGATAGCTCATTGGTCATATTCAGCACCTAGAAAGCCAGATTTTAATGGTGCCACACTTTCTGTTTGCTGCAGTGCACCAGTTCTGTTTCAGTGGTATTTTCGACTGCTCATGTGTCGTGCACTCAGTTGTTTGGTCACCTGTGACTGACCATATTCACTAGCAGTGATACAAATGTGTTACATTTGAACAACCCTTACAAGATTCTGACAGTTTGACATACTGCTATTATCAATATTTGTAATGTTGAACTGCATTTCCCAAAATTTGTTTTCAAATGACATATATTTTGTAATTCCTGTGTGTCCAGTATATTTAAAATGGTTTCACTGAAAGCAATACTGCCCTCAGATTTCTTGTTAAATAGTAATGGTGTAGCATATCACAGACCAGACCCATTGAGATTGAACAAAGAGTTTAATTGACCATCATTCTATTAACAGATTGAGTACTTTTGTCTGGTACTATTCTTAGACATTTCTGTGCAAGTATTCAAGTAAAGAAATTTGCAAGGTGGAGGGGAACAAAGAAGCATTTCTTTTATTACCAAAATAGATTTATTGTAGGATATCAGAGTGGAAATGTATGAAATTTGAAATATGTTTTACTTGTGTCTATATGTTTATTATGTTACATGAGGTAGACTGGCTTCTGTACAGTGTAAGTATTTAAAGATTTTATTTTGTATTGTTTGCATTTATTCAGAAATGTTTAAATAGTATACGTATTAAAATGATCCAATCCTTGAAGGAGATTCAAAATATTATAGGGCAGATCGAACTTCCTGTTTTTAATATGAGACCATTTCAAATTGGATTAGTGATACCTGCATAAAATTATTTAGTCTGAGATGTTTTCAATACATATATTATTTGTACAGTATATTACAGTTAATGCATTGGATTTATCGTACGTTTATTTTTCTTTAAAAATATTATTTATTGCATCGTAATGTTTACTCTTGATCCCAGATTAAGTTGAATTCCAGTAGAAGGATCAGTCAGGCCATACTATGGATTGTATATAGTTATTCACTTTTATTCCTGTAAGTGGCAGCTTCTAGTTTTAAAGATACATGTCCTGATTGCAGCATATTCAGTAACATTTCAAGGAGAGGCCTGCAAATGTTGGATTTATCAGATAAGTTCAAAATTTGCAGCTGTCTGCTTTAGTATTCTATAGATATTGTTACTACCCCTTTAAATATAAATCATAATAGTGAATACATTTCATTCAGTGAAGTGATTGTAAAGAAAACAAAAATGTTTCATAAGTTAAAAATGTCACAACCTTGTGGGATGGTGTACAACCTATTGATCCTAGAATTGGTATTTTCCATGTGTTTCTTGAAATATAGTTTCATAGTGACTTCAGTGTAAAGAACTAATCCCCTCCAGATCCATGTTAAGTTATGTTTTGTGTGCTATATTGTTTGTGCTGAATACAAATCGTGTATCCCATAAAAGTATCATGACTTTGGTAAAGAACAGCTGGCAACAATATTTTCAGTTTATTAATGGTAGATTGCCCATCCTGTGAGCATGACTTTGCAACTTCAGTTTTCATCCAGGGCAACAATTTTTCACTCCGCTGAAGTCAGATATAACATAGAATGTTTTGAAATTTGAAAAGAGCAAGATCAGATCACTTTAATTCTTGATGTGCTTATAATACTGTGTTGAGTTGAGCCAAACATGATGTAATAGATACTTTAAATTCATGAACATTGTGTGGATTTACTGTTAGAATTAATCTTTTCTGGAAGGAGTGTTGGTACACAATTTTTTTTATTAAAAACCTGTATTATACAAATTTGGTTTTCTGTGATAAAGTAAATGATTATAAATAAGAACTTTGCAGAAAAAAATAGAATTTGCTCATTTACAGCCAAACAGTGTGTAAATTAAGGAAAATCAAACAATTCTGATAACATTTGGAAGGCATAATTAAACTCAGTGGCTTATACATAACATGACTGAATTGGTGTGAACTTATGAGAACAGACAGTGATGCAGTCCTGTTTTTTTCACTACTGTGAAAAGTATTCAAATGTTTTTTTATGTTTAATTTGCACTCCAGTGCAAAACATTTAAAGTGTAAATTTTATTGCAAAGTGTACATAACTGCTGATAATAAAGGTTTACTATACTGTATTAAATTGTATATCACTTGAGCTAAAAATAAAATACAGTTAATGAATATTGTTTAATTTTGTTATTTATAATAAAAGTGCATCTTTAATTTATGTAACAAATAGATAGTATATCACATTTTAAAGTTAACTTTGCTGCAGTTTGTAATACCTCGAGTGATATATTTTTATGTGCTTCAAAAAAAAAAATTATCACTTCCTTTCCTCAACAATGTGGCCAAAACTGCTCAGATGTTCTCCCATCAGCAGCAATAGCATGTAGTCTGAACATGCCAAGGCCTTCAGCAAAGACAACAGTACCATTAGCATATGCAAATTGTGGTTTATAAAGCACCATTTCCAGCTATGTATTTCAAACATTTTATTCCTTGGATCCATGAGTTTGTTAGATGACGATAGGTTGTGGTATAGGTCAAAAAATATACAATTGCAATTCAAACTATTGTAAACTTTTCATGTGCAAGAATGGTCTAACCTTGCAAGGGTTGATGTCTTACACTTATGCAAGACACTGCCCATAGCTTTTTGGATGGTTTGTCAAAGACATCCGTGCAGGAGGTGGCAACTGCAGTGTTGTCCAGAACATTGGAAAATCTTCAACAATTGATGTGGCTTATCCCAGAAACTTGAATTTATAAATGAAACTTATGGACAGGCAGAAACAGGAACTCACATCAAATTTTGACATCTCACAAGGGTACATGCAACATTCGACTACATGGTTGAATGAGTTTGTTGGCAGTGACGTGGTCATTGACCGTGGCGGTGAGCACAATGGAAGGGTGGGAGATAAAATACATGCAAGAGGGCCGAACAGCTGACTTGCAGATCAACGTTAATATATTATTAAGGAGGACATCAAGATTATCTGAAGGTACAAATCCTGAGAAACGCTACATATCGATAACTCTGGCAGCAATCCTTGGCAAATGGGCAATGCAGTTTTCTGCACCAGAACGGAACGGGATGCTCCAGAGCCTTAGAGCACCAACATTTGGTTATGGGAATGAACTCCGACAGAAAATTGGGGCTCCAAAGTCGTAAGAGAAAACAACTCATCCGCATCTAGAGCAGCCGAAAACAAAATCCTTACCTTCCGCCTGAAACTGCGTTTTACAAGTAGAAAAACGTTGGTAATCTGTGGGCTGTTGATCAATGTTGGCAAAATCTGTGAACGAGAATGCCTGCGTTCGGTGGGAAAG